TCCACTAGGTGAGTATAGTCTTACCTGTACTGTTATGGATGCCTGCTGTGTCAAAGTTTGATATATACCAGTGAATTCAACATTGCGGTTTTGGTCAAACACAGGACACTGAAAAAAAAAATATCATTTGTTTGAAAACCAATAATTTACAAAGATAAATTTAATATAAATAGAAAACTATTCTGAGTATTTCTTGATATGCTGAAACACATTATTATACTAAATAAAGAAAGCCAATTAAAATTTGTTTTTTTTCAAAATTAACGGATATTATAATTCCATGTACATCATATTTGACATATCGTCAAATGGATCCTATTCACAATTGGTCGTCAATCTCAGTATGTGAAAAAAATGTTTTTCACATAAATTGTATTCCATTCTCTATTGCATTTTGTCCACTTTCTAAATACATAGGAACAGCGGATGTGCTGGCGTTAGATAATTGAACACTATTGGGGGTGTCATATGACTCACTCTCTCAATGAGATCTTGGCAGCCATTCACAATAAGGTCTATTTAAAACCGAACCAATCATGTACAATTTAAAAATGCATGGAAAATAATGTTGTTATAAAATAAACATTCAATGATAGCAATTATATAGTAGTACAGGTACAAAGTGCAATAACCAAATACTGTAAAATATAATTATTCTCAATCAGAATATTTGTTCAATGAAGGGATGATTTAGTGAAAATAAAATCCAGCGAATATACATTTTTTCAAATATTTTACATTCAGCACATCAAAAATCAGTGAAAATAAATTCCATATAAAACAATTAAAAGTCTTTTCATCAAAAATTAATTCAAGCTACAATTACATATTTCACGATATACATTTTTTCAATATTACATCATAAGCAGTACTTCTAGATTCAGACCTTCCCTTTTTATAAACATCATTTAATTGATACACTAAGAGGCATACATACTGATATATCCTGCACGGAGAGCGTAGCACATATATGGTCTTTTGATTTAGCAATCACATGGACTGCTTCAACTCCTTCAGGAAATAAAAAATAATAATACTGAAAGAGAAAAACAAGAATACTTAATATATCGTACTTGACCGCGTCAGCACCCAGGGGTCTCGACTCAGACAATCGCGATTTTTTAGGGGTGGACGCTCACCCGAGCACCCCCCTCGAAAAAGAGTGCAAATGGATATTTTGATTCATCATGTGACAGATTCAGGGGGATATTATGTCTTTGAGGGAAAATCAAATTACGAAATTAATTGTGTCGTCATTGACTTTTACAATAAAGAAACAGAAATGATCACAAAGATCTATCAATGTTAATCTATAAGCTGAAGGTGATTTTTTTGTTCGCTTGCAATTTGGCTGGCTTGTACTAACAAAAAGGGTAAAGCAGCTATCCAACCAAAGCCATGAAATTCATGCATCACTCACAGATGGAGTTCCAGCTTTTCAACAATATGGCGTCAAAGTTATTTAAGTTGCAAGTGATGCTTTATAATTCAATCCATGTTTAGAAATGTTCCAATCTACATACATCACTTATATTTAGCAATGTTTGTCCTTGCAACATGCCTATAGTTACGTTTATATTATGAGTTAAAAAAGGACTGAAGTTCTTGACTGAGCGAGCATCATCTACAAATATGTTAATCTCCACATTATAAATATCAACATTACGTTGAATTGGAAAATCTAGATGAGTGTCTAGTATATTAAAAGAACACTAACCTCTGGTTTGGATGGAGAAACACTCAATGATTTGAGCTCATTCATTCTGAAATTGAACAGAAGCCAGTCATATAATATGACATATTATAATAATATGAGGTTATTACAAGGATACCTCAAAGTATGCACAAAGACAGTACAGCGGTAGTATCGACCGACGTGCAGCGGAGATCGATGCGGCAGCATACCGTCTCAGCGCATACATTGAGGTCTCCTCCTAATAACCTTATTATTATTCATCTTTTCTTTCAAATGATACATCATGGGAATGCCGAAATCCAAAAGGTTTATAACAGAATCAGTGAACTTCTTTGTGTGGAGTCCGGTCAAACCCTGGTGGCAGCCATGTTTGTTTTATTAAAACAAAATGGCCACCAGTCAGCCATTTTGAATCCGATCTGAAAAACCAAATGAAATGCATCTGGAACCCATAATGTCCAATGTATGTACCAAGTTTGAATGAAATCCATCCCTAAATGACCAAGATCCAGTTTTGGAATGTCAAAAATGTTTGAGTTTTGATGATTTTTTCGCACAAAAATGGCCAACATTCGGCCATTTTGAATCGGATCACCAAATATGAGATAACGTACAATGAATATTAAAAATATGAACATAGTCAAAGCATGGAAAAGATATGGCGCCAGTCAGCCATTTCGAATCTGATTTGAAAAACAAAATGATGTGCATCAAGGTCACATATTGTCCAATGTATGTACCAAGTTTGAACAGAATCCATCTGTAAACAGCTGAAAAAATGCTTGATTTTGATGATTTTTCAGTAAAAATGGCCACCAATCGGCCCTCTTGAATCAGATCATGAAACAAATTGATGTGCATAATGTCTATGATGTATGTGTGAAGTTTGAATGTAATCATTCCAGGCAGGTCTAGAATGCAGGTTCGAACACACACAGAGGTCAATCCATAATTCCCCGTTTTCGAACTGCGTCCAAATGGGAACTAATAAAGTTGCAAAAATATATTAAAGTCATCATCATCAAAAAAGTGAAAATCAGAAGTGATACTTACGACATTTGAAAATCATGGACAATTGTTGCATAGAGTGTGTAATCAGTAAAATTAACAGATGCACAGGACACATCAATATAAAAATCATTAATAAGTTCATCACCCATATCAAATGGACAAAGTGTACGGGCAACACTACTGTATTTGTACCTAGAAAATAAACAAAAACATTTTTGAAATGTATCAACAAGTACATTATAGCACTCATAGAAGGCTTCACATTTATTAACATGCTAGTCCAGGTCACATGTTTCAGTAGTGTCCTCTTTCTAAAGTCAACTACAAATGTACAAAGTGAATCTTTCAACCATTAGATTAAATAAAATTCTGCAAATCTGTAAAAATCAAATTATTCACTGCATTTCATTTTGAAAATTCAAGGTTATTTTTTAAGTTCATGGTTTGTGAAAAAAAATAGCTACACTGTATACTGTGGAATACTTTATTTTTGCTTGGAATTTATTTTCGCTATTTTCGCTGAAGGGATGATTCCGTGAAATTAAAATCCAGCGAATATACTTTTTTTCCTATATTTCACATTAAACTCATCAAAAATCAGTGAAAATAAATTCCATACAAAATGCCCAAAAAACTTTTTCAGCGAAAATTAATTCCAGCGAAAATAAAGTATTCCACAGTATTCACATTATGGGATCTCAACACTTGTCAAATAATTTTAACCCTTCATGTTTGCAGAGGGAATATAGCAGTTACTTTCACGATAATCAGGACCAATGGGATACATTATCGCAAATAATCTACTGAAATGACATGATAAAATCTACTGGTATTGATAATGCTATAATATAATATAATAGCAGATAATGTGATGGCTACTTATGATTTCCAATGTAGCCAAACTTAGAGTCTGTAATAAAATACTTTATTTTCTCTGAAGAAATATATCAGTGGGAAAAAAAATCTATTTTTTCTATATTTTACAATAACTCATTCAGGATCAGTGAAAATAAACCTCATACAATATAGACAAAATGTCTTTTTAACAAAATTAATTCCACAGGATCAGTGAAAATAAACTTCATACAATATAGCCAAAATAAATTCCACTTACTAGATAAAAGTATTTGACAGTACAATATATATTTGTATATTTTTAGCATTATCGGTAATATGCTATAACGTGCATACTCACTGACTAAGTATATACATTGGCACAGGCCATGACATGACGCCTCTCTGTTGTCTAACCACAAACAAGACTGGATATTCAACTACTGCATTTGTACTATTTACATGTACACGTATGGCATAACTCTGAAATGGAAAAAAAAAGTTTCAATCATTTTATTTTATCAAAGATGGAAAAGAAACCACTAAAAAGTATTAAGCCTTCTGAGTGCCAGATATTTTTCCCACCCAAAATTTCAGTTCAAATATTTTCACATTTTGTCAAATTTAAAGTCAATTTCATCACCATTTTGGGGCCATACAGACAGTTTCAGATATTGCTTTTATTTTGTTATCAAAAGGTTTGTCAATTTTTATCAACACTTTTTGTGGAGATGAGAAGACTACAAAATCAGCTGATGCCAAAATTTGACAATGGAATTCAAGTAAGTATAGGTTATAGAATGACAAGCAAGGTACAGTTTTAAGGTAATGATCGATGCATGGGATGATGTAGGACATGTAGGATGTACATGTAGGACATAAAAATCCTTTGTTGTGCACTTGTAATTCTATATTTCTATCTAACTATCTATTTATCTATTCTCCAGATGCCTAGTGGCACATAGGGCCTCCACCAAACATCTCCATTCTGTCCTATCAGCTGCTGCAACTCTAGCTTCAGCCCATGACTTCCATCCAGCCATGGTTCTTTACCCCTCAACAATGCGTCGCCAAGTTATTTTGGGTCTACCCAGTTTCCTTTTCCCTTCTGGGCCCATATCAATAGCACTCAGTTTCTCCATTCCAATCCTTATTAATAGTTCTTCATTCCTTACATGATCTTGCCATTTTACCATCAATATTCTCCTTAAACACTTGGTTTGAAAAGTATTGGGTTTTCTTTTGTCACTTTTTGCAATCCTCCAAGTTTCAGATCCATATAACAGCACTGACAACACCAATGATTTGTACAATATGAGTTTAGTTGCTCTATTGATTTTGTTACTGTTTTATTGAGCTGCATGAATGCATTACTCCCCTTTGAAATACTGTTTTCCATGTTTCCCATTATCCTGATTTTGTTAAGGTTACACCCAGGTACACAAATTTGTAGACATCTTCAACAACTCAACCATCGATGTAAATTCTATAACAGGCTACTAATATGGCTGCAGTCACAGATGTATTTATTCAAGTTGACTTCGTTGATCATGTATTAATTTCACTATATTCAGTATTGAAAGCAGAACTAACATATAATCAATGCAATTTTTGCTTCAAAAGAACCAGGTCATTCCTGCACCTCAACACCCATTCCATTTGTATTCCTCAAGTGTTTATTGAATGGGCATATTGCAACCTGATTGGTGGAAATGCCCCAACCATGTTAAAGATTTCTTTTAACTTTTCACCACCAGTTTCATGTACCAGGGGGTATAAAGTCTGCACTTTCCCTCAGAAGATTGGCACAAAAATTGACAAATTTTGAGTAAAAACTGAATATTGACTTGAATTTTGTCTGTTGGCTCCAAAATTAGGATTTATTCCCAGAAAAGAAGAATATAAGAAAAAAGTACAGAAGAACCGGTCACTGGTAGCATAGTGGTTGTGGCATTAGACTCATGATTGGTAGTTCAAATTCTATCTTAGGCTGAACATTAAAGGGTTGACCCCTACCTTGGGTGAGTGTGCCACAGACTCAATGGGCAGGCCAATTCCACTGGCCGAGATTCATTCACTAACGAATGCGACTTTGGGGGAACCTTGGTTAAGGTCCACAGGTGCTTGTGTTCGACCGAGCCTGGTTGATGCCAGGATAGCGCATTAAAAAAAATGCATTTAACAGAGAGATGGCCACACAGCACTTGCAATTTGCACAACAGTGACACTCAATGTCCAGAACTGTCGCCTGGCACAAAAAATATTTTTAAAAAAAGTACAGAAAAATGTGGACAAGAAAAGTTTACCAACTAAAAGCTATGACTGTTACCACAAAATTATTTAAGTGTAACATTTTATATGTATTTTTTGTAATTATTTCTTATTGTTAATTTTTAACCAACTGAATACTTTTTTCTTTTGGAATCAGTTCTTGATCCAAATTAATGATAAGATACAAGACAGGGTTCTTTAAATAGCATTAAGGAATAACCCCCCCTCCATAATTATGGTTAAACAATATATAATTTAAAACCTCAAATAAAATTGCTGTTCATAAGACTGATAATACACGTAGCTGCAGAGTGAGAAAGGTAAAACATTGAATCTATTGGTTGTGGAACGTTGTTATTTATAATTTATCGAGTCATTTCATTTATCTAAGATAATTTTATTACAAAAGTGCATTGACCTGCTAATGCTATTAATTTAATTAGGTTTTTGGAAAAAGTAAATTAACTATAAATTATATGGCCAAATTAAATAAACAGTGTGTTTGTAATAACACTGAAGACAAAAGTAGGGTAGACAGATTAAAACAGATTAATTTTAAAAATATTTGTTTTATGGTAATTAATCTTTCAATAGACACATTCAAGAATAAATGTAATCTTACTGAGAGCAAAAGAACCATGTGACTTGGTTTCAAACCCTAAACACACACACAAAAAATATGCAAACCTGATCATTACAAGTGAATATTATAAACAAGATAATTCTTTGATGAGGCCGTAACTTTACATAGCATTTTACATTTTATTAAGCATACTTAACATCCTTGTACATGTACACCGAGTCAATTATTTCAGTAATTTCTTAATTATGTTCAGCAACTGCTAACGGTAAGTATGAGCTTTTCTGTAATTAGATTTACAGTGTAATTTGCATATGGAATACAGGACAGGTGTAGGATGCTGTCGGAAAGTATATACAATGTAGGTTGTCTAGAATTGGATATACAATGTAGGATTTAGGTTGTTAGAATTAGATATAATATAGAATTGATTATTTTTTTTTTTTTTTTGAAATTTTTTTTGTGCCAGGTGACAGTTCTGGACATTGAATGTCACCGTTGTCTCTCCTGACTTTCTTTTTTTTTTTTTTTTTTTTTGTATGTGCAAATTGCAAGTGCTAGTGCTGACACATAGAATTGATTATTTGCAACAGCACATTTGCCCCGGCCATTTCGTTGAAGTATTTCCTGTGACTACTGTAAAACACTACTGTCTTTTTAGTTAGCTAATCCAAAATATTGCTAATTTTAAGCAAGCAGTCTGTCGGCTTCTCTGTGTACATTGTAGTCAGACAGTTGAAAATTGCATTTTTTAATCAAAAATGACAAATATATTTACTAAAATTAGAGAATTAAAGGTATCATCAAAAAATGAACAAACATGACTAAGGTCCACTTAAATTGTCTGCATCTAAAATATCAAAGCAATTGGTCAAGAAGTTTTCAAGTCACCTGTTACATGTATGTTTGAGAGTGCTTTCCCCAAATGAACATGTTTACATGTGTACAAAAAAAATATGTTTCTGTACAAAAACAAGTGTCTGAAAAAAATAGTATTAATTTCTGAATTCATTAGACTTTAGGTTGTGCATGTAAAATTCCAAATGGCTAATATTCACCCACCCCTTAATTAAAAAATATTTCATCGGGGACACATTTGCTGCCAGACTTATTAAATGAGCATGTATTATAGAAATTTATAAACATGTATTAGTTTAAGAAATCTGATCTTGGTCATATTCATGCTGCCCATCTATCACATTCACATCACTCAACTGTCACATTCATGCTGCCCATCTATCACATTCACATCACTCAACTGTCACATTCATGTTGCCCATTATCACATTCACATCACTCAACTGTCACATTCATGGTGTCCATTATCACATCCACATCACCCATCTGTCACATTCATGGTGACCATTATCACATTCACATCACTCAACTGTCACATAATGTTGTCCATTATTATATTCA